AAGTCTTTTTTTTTTTTTTTTGCTCAAAAAAAGTATTCTCGTAGCTTCGTAAAATTACGGTTGTCTATGGGAGGGTCAGAGAGCTCTCGGGATGCATCAAAAATATCTTAATTTGTGTTCTGAAAATGAACGAAGGTCTTAACAGGTTTGGAATGACATGAGGGTGAGTAATTAATGACAGAATTTTCATTTTTGGGTGAACTGTCCCTTTAAGGTTTTTTTTTTGTTACTGTAAAGTGCGTTAGCTGTGTTTGTTTGATCTGTCTTTGGAATTGTGGTCCATGTACAGCATTATTACCATTTCAATAACTATTTATTTGTTTTTTAATGTGAAGCAGTTTTATTCAGAGCTAGATTCAAGGCAGTTTTGTACCTGTTGCTTCTGATCTATGATCAGCTCCCCCTGCTGTTCACAGTTCTGCTCATTAGAATACCATTAGTACAGAATCCTCTCAGATTGGCTTCTTCTGAGAGTTTATACAAATAGGTATAAAATACAATGTATATGTGAATATGTATATACGTTTTATACATATAAACTCACATTTCTCTCCTGTGTGTAATTGTCTTGGCACGAACATCGATTTTAGAGCCATAGGTCATGATCCTCTATATCCTGTCTTCTTGCAATATTCATTAGAAAAAAAACCTCGGCTCATTCGGTCACACATTCATCTATTGGTAAGATGTTGGTTTTCTTAAAGACTCCCTGATTTTGATCTTTAATAGACACACTCTCATTGTGCCTTTCTCTGAATTTTGTATTTGATTTGGATATATGGATCCCTTTAGTTAGGGCTATATGGCTAAAACCTCAATTCATTTTGGTGTGTAGGGTCCAATCGAACATATTAGTTTGTTGCTTTCAGCTTCATTATTTGAAATACACTATCAGTTATAAGAAGTTTGCAATATGTTTGCTATGCTACGAACATAGCAATGTGGTCCATTAGTTTGAATGCATTTTGTTTTTTGATTTAAAATGTTTTAGCACCCAGTGGTTTCAGGTGACTTCCTTCAAGTTGTGCTGTTTCAGCACCTACAGACTGTATCTTGACAACAACAAATTGTCAATAAAACAAAATTATGATTAAAATTGTAACTTTTTTCATGTCAGCTGTCTTTTTTTGGCATTCACTCTGCCTGTCGGTTTTTTTTTTGTGTGATTTTTAAAAAAGAAGAAATTGTTTAAAATATTAATACAATATTGTTTAAAAATACTGATTTTTTTTATTATTATTATTTCATTAGCTATTTTATTAGTCAAATATGTCTATATATTTCTTAAAATAATTATTTCAGTTTAAGCTTTAGATATTTTAGTACTTCAAGTGAGACATTTTGCTTCGGCAACAAGCAAATAGAAAAAAGCCTATTTCAGTTGATTAATAGAAGCCAATAGGTAGAGGAAAAAATGCATCAAACCATATAAATCTTTATTAATTCTAAAATCCGGGCACATGTACAAATTCATGCACACTGTATGTCTAATTACAACAAAACATGTACAGATGTAATATAGATATAGATATTAGAGATCCAACGTCATGAAGCCAGTGATTGGACAAGAGCTATCGCTCAAGATTTGTTACCAGCAAACTTCCAGTGAACTGTTCCTCAGCTGCAAACAAGTGGATGGACTTGGATAATTCCCTTGTGATCTTATATATCTTGGCTAATCCAGCCAGAAAGCTGGGCTTTAGTAAGTTCTTTAGAGAAGATGAGAGTAAACCGCTTTGTTACGCTGTGCTCTTTTGCCGAAACAAGCAGTTTTGATTGGTATGGGCTTTTAGGTTACTTAGTTTACTTAAGATCTCATTGTGATAGAATATAAATGCTACTATATATGTAGTCAAAGAGCATTAAAAAACAAAAGAAAAATCAGGAATTTCCATTTTCAATTTGCGCAAGTCCATTCACATTAGAGGATGTCTCAATTTTATTTATTTTATTTTTTAACTATTATTCTTTTTTTTTTTTTAGATTTTCTGTTGCAAGTTAACAATTAAATATTCTACTTCATCGTCAATGCATAATGCATTGTTTTAACATAAAACAGCAATGTTTTTCATTACAAAAAAAATAAATAAAATCGTAGTATTTTGAAGGTGTACCAGTTCTGCACAGAAAGGATGGTAGGATATCGCCCTCTGGTTTGGCCATCCAGCGGGCTGTGTCTTCGGGACATAGGGACTCCCTCAGTCCTCGACAAGGTGTAAAGGTGCAGGATTTGACCAGTCAGGGGAAGGTATAACAGGAAAACAGGTCCAGACAAGTTGTAAATAGGTTGTGGAATAATTTATGCAGACACAGAGGAGGTTTCGGTCTTGCTGGAAACCTCTGAGCCCTCATCAATCTTCTTGCCAAATACAGTCTCCATGATGCAGGCATTGAACTGGAACACAAAATGGCAGAGTATTAGTGTTTGTCTACATGTATAGTGTTGTTATTCTAAGCATATGTTTTGTCCATCTCACCTGTTTGTTCATGAAGGCGTAGATTAGGGGGTTGTACACGCAGGAGCTCTTTGAGAACAAAGCAGGGATGGCCACCAGACGGTAATCCTTGTTTGAATCCTCAGCATAGCCAAAATACAAGGCAGCAATGGCATAAGGGCCATAGCAAACTATATAAGAGCCAACCATCACAACAACCATCCTGGACACTTCCTTCTCAGCCTTTTGGGTGGAGGCAGACTCGGCCTGCTGGGCTGCAACCTATTGGTAAATATTGAAACATTTCAAGCTTGTGAAATATATGTTTCTGATTTATTCTGATAGAGCATTCACACATATTCTAAAAAAAGGTTGTTAAGAAATGTTAAAGTCATATAAAAAAGTCATTTGAAGTGAATATATATTACAAGACATATGAAAAATGAAAATATATTCTGAAATATATCTTTGTCTTTTTTTCTACAAAGTACTCCTGTGAGTGCATTAAAGTATCATTTTAACTAATTTCGTAATTATTTTATTTTATTTTAAATGAATACCCTTATATTAAAAAAAAAATAACATTTGTAAAATTCATAGAAATTAAAATCATAAAGCTAATCGAAAAAATCATGGACATTTCCAAAATATAAATTTCTCTAGTTATGCTCAATTTTAAAATATTTCTTCATCTAGATTTTTTGTGTGAACAGAATATCTAAAAAGGATATTGCATTTTGTGCTTCATTGCATTGGACACAGAACATAAAGGAGACTGATATAACTATTTAATCATGGGCAGAAATTGAAATCAAAAGGCAAAAAAAAAAAAAAAAAACTTAAATAATTATTAAATAATATGTAGAACATTATGATAATCCTAAATAATATTGCCTGAATATATGCAATTAAGTAACTAAAATATTTATTAAAAAAAAAAAAAAAAAGATTCATAAAGGCAAAAAGTTGGGATACTCACAGCACGCAGGGCTCCCAACAGTTGTGAATAGGAGAAGATGATGATCGTCATTGGCAGGATGAAGCAGGTGACCATGAGGAAGTAAGTGTAGCTCTCTGCATTGTACTCCTCGCTTTTTGTGTACCAGTCAGGTCCGCAGGAGGTGCCGAGACCCTCTGGAATGTATCTGTAAATTCGAATGTAAATAAAGTTAATCTCTAAAATTATGAGTGCACGCTTCCAAATATTTCACAAAGAAAATGTCTTTCACCTGCTCCATCCCCAGAATGGAGGAGTGGCACAACCGATACCTATGATCCAGGTGAGCAAAACGGCTCCCATTGCCTGGCCTTGTCCGAACTTGAAGCTTCCAAAGGGTTTGCAGATAACCACGTATCTCTCGAAAGCCAGAACCGCCAGAGACCATCCTGTCACAAGTCCTGTGAGAACAAGACAACCACCAATCTTAACATACTAAAGGTTACGAAAGGGGGTTTTCACAGTGATGCCATAGAAGATGCCATTGATTCCCCATTAAGTTATCACTTCTTGATTTTTTTCTCAGCGTGAAGAACATTTTAAAAATCTAATTTTGTGGAATGGAAAGGTTCCTTGGATGTCCCAGCCAGGTTCTCCACAGAACCACTGATGCCATTGATGTTACTTCTTAAAACCTTTATTTTTAAGAGTGTAATGTCTAGGGTTGGGTATCGTTTAAATTTTATCAATTCCAGTTCCGATTCTGCTTATCGATTCCGATTCCTTTTTTTTAATGGGGGTTGTAGTTCTCTCACAATTCTGAAAAAGACAACTAACAAAATCTCATGGAATTTATGAATGGAATGATTCAATGACTCACTCAAGATTTACTTGTTTTAGGATGAATCAGTGTTTTTGAATGAATCTCTTGAATGAATGATTCAAAGACAAATACATTTTTAACAGCCGCTTTTCGCCAGCTAAAAATAAAAGATGCGCACACAGGAATTGATAGGTGGAATTTAAATTTAAATTTTACAACAAGTATCCGATTCCTGACCTTAAGTATCCGATTCTGGAAGTGGAATTGATTTTCGATTCCCAACCCTAGTAATGTCTATGCTATTCAAAGTTCGCAGATGCTTTGTCT